TAACGTTCTTCTACAAAGTTCCATCCAATGTCAGAGTTTTATGCACAATAATTTTAAAGAGAGGACACACTATATCTGTATAGGTCTTTTAGCTTTTCACGATTAAATGAAAATATGGCTAAAGCTTAGGAATATAAAGATACGAGACAGTCCCTGCCTTCGGGTTTCACAATGTAGTGTGAGAGACATATACAATTCGAGTTTGTGAGTACAGATGTTAGCATACTCATGGAGCACTAGGCTTGGGGCGAGAGTGCGTGGTTTAATAAAGCTTTCAGGAGGTATCTGCATAGCTAAGATAATTGTGGGGAGGTGGGAAAAGTCCACACATAAAGAATAGTTCGTGTGAGTAATGGCCAACACTGCTTTTGGTGCTTACTCTGGGCCATGAACCTTATGTGCATTATCTCAACTGTTCTTATACCAATGCCAAGTAGTAGCAATTAGTGCTTATAATTTACCTAAGATCAGAGACATTAAGTACCTGCCCTCAATGTCGCTAAGAAAGTAGAAAAGTCCATGTTGGAAATGAAGTCAATTTAACCTATCCCCAAAGCTCACGCTTGTGGTAGCTATGCTACATAGTTTAAGCATAGTGCATTAAGGTTCTATATAGTTTTTAAAAACCCATAAGACTGCGAAGTTTCCTACTTTTCTACTGAGTAGTTGATCTTTAATATGGAAAGCATTCTCTGTATTAATAGCTATCAAGTGAATGTATCAGTACAAGTTTAGGTAACTCGTATTGCAGGGAGCTTCCCACAGACTGAAAATGAACTTTTAAAACAATAAAATTTACCTTGTTTTCAACATTTGATATAGCTTTCTAAAAATTTTATTTATTGAGGTAAATTACAACATAAAGCATCAAATGCTAATCATTTTAACCAACTCAGTGGTATTAAGTACATCTATATCACTCTACAGTCAACTACCACTACATCTACAGAACTGTTTTCATCTTGTAAAAGTTAAACTTTGTACTCATTAAACAATAAGTCTTCATTCCTTTATCCTCCAAGACCCTGAAACCACCTGGTGTAATTTGAAAGAATCGTTACTGAAAGCACACAGGTTAGTACAAAGGTGACATAACCAAAAATCAGATAACAAAAAAGTACAAAGAAAAATCAAACAATAAAAACTCTATGTAGCTGTCTAGCTGTTTTGTTATATTTGGGATTCAAGAATGGATCCTAACATGTTCATTTTATATTGTCATCTTTTTCATGTTCAAGTCACCTATAAATTATTGTTTTGTGTGTGTCTTGGTTATCTACATATGGGTACACAGGGCTGAAAAATGTCCTACAGGAAATCCTTCAATTCTTTGACTGGGTCCTTTGCTAAGCAAATCACAAGAGCCTGAGGTCTTCAGAAAGCCAAAGCTCATAAGCTAACCTTTGGAAGAATCACTCAAGGAGTATTAGACACTCTTCAGGCATGACAGGCTTAATCAAGGCAGATGGATCAGCTCATTTGGAGGCAGGGTGACCTTTTAATCTTCTTTATGTCCCTGGAGGCACCTTGAACTGTGCCTGGCTTACACTAGATGTTCAGATGCCTGCTTATTAAATCAAAGTGAATTACAATTGAACACAGACTAGAAACCATAACTTTTACTGGCTTGGAAAAACAAGATAATGTTCTTAGACTTATTTTGTGATTATCTTCTTTGTAGTGATAATGCCTGAAAATCCGTTATCTCAGAGAATCTTTGTATTATTTCTTAGAAACAAGAAAAGATGAAACTGCCTCTGACTTTGTAGAAAGTCTTAGCTGAAGAAGAGTATCAAGGAGAGAGTGAATATGATAGAGTTTTAGATAAAATGAAAAAATACAAGGAGCCAGTAGGGTTAGAAAAGTTCATTGAGAGCTTAATTTAACTGTTCCTGTTCATATTGTGACAGGTATGTTGCAGGGTCAGCATTAAGGGATGAGTTGTGGAAACCTCTCTTAGTAAAATGCTTACTGATAGGGGCATTAACTTGCCCCTGTTGAATTTGCTAATGTAATTGATTATTGTGGACCTGCTCAATCTTATCCCCAATGCTACAAGAGACCTTATAGCTTATTACTAACTAGATACACAATGGCTTTAACACTGTTGATCATGTCTCTTTTTTAAAACTTCCATAGGGAGCAATGCCAGGGACTGGGACCTGGATGGGGTTGCTCCCTGCCTGTCTGATGCTCGCCCAGGTGACCTCTGTTACTCAGAAATCCCATGTGATGAAATCTGAGAGCCCTTTGGCCTCTTAAAGTGTGGTGCCTAAGGCTGCAGCTGCCCCAAGGGGAGAACCACCAGCGTCTCCTGAGATCCCCGCCATGTTGGAACTTAGGGTGCTGGGAAACCAAGCAACCAGCTGCCTCCCTGGTAAGTGGCTGTGCTGTGGCAGGTTGCGACTCCTCCAGGGGTAGAACCAGCAGCAGCTCCTGAGATCTGCGCCATGTTGGAACTTAGGATGCTGGGAAACCAAGCAAGCGGCTCCCCTCCGTGCTAAGCAATAGTGAGCCTACTGGTGCAAGGGCTGAAAATCAAACATTCCACTTCCCCTGCCCCATTAGCAAATGGGAACCAGAGATCTGAGCATCTCTAGGGAGGTTGACCATATGCGATATTGCAAATAAGGGGGATTTCCTTCTACTGTCTCTTTGAAGGCAAACATTTTTATTACTGTTTTGCTTTATTCTGATTAATGGTACTGCTCTATTCAATATGCTGCTTTAATAAATTCTATAATGTTCTGTATTTCATTTTATTTTGCTACACATGATTGAAAGAACAACTATTGTAAAGATAACGAGATATACTGTGATACCGATTACCGTTATCCTGGTAACCTACTGTGAAATTCTGTACCAATTTCACTGCATTGTCTCAATTGGCTTTGTTCTGTCTTGTTCTGTTGTATTTTACTACCTTCAAAATAAAATAAAAACTTTCATAGTGCCAGGTATGATGACACATGACTGCAATTCCAGCACTCAGGAGGCTGAGGTAGGAGGATCACTGGGTTTGAGGTCACATTGTGCTAGGTAGTGAGTTCAAGACAGTCTCAAAAAGAGAACAAAACAAAACAAAATAGTAGGTATATCAGAAAGTTTACTCAATAATCAAAGAGAGTATGCAGTCAATGCTATTCGTGGTAGCTGTGGTCTATGGAGTCTCTGTGAACTTTGGATCAGTTCTTACTGAATCACTGGAGTACGGAGGAAATACTAAGTTAAGTTCTTACAGCTCTCTCAGCATATTCATCAACCAACAATCTTTGTTTTATATTGTTTTTATTTAATGACACGTTAGTATATGTTGTAGATTCACTAACATGGAGTTCATGGTCCACATCATAAATCATATCTGGAAGAGGCTCATTTAATACACATGTATGCTTCACAAGGCACATTCCAGATTCCTTGTGTTTAGGATACTAGAGCACAATTCATGCCACACTTTGGGACCATGTTAGATAGCAAAGTCACCACCAAAAAACACAAAAATGCCAAAAATATAGTTGAATTGGTTGTGAAAAGACCTTTTTAAAAAAATAGCATGAAATTGAAATAGGCAGGGGTCACCTCATTTGCCCTTAGCTGGGAATGTGTGCGTTAGGAAACCTGAATTTTTCACTCCTACATATGCTCAGATATTTGTGAATGCACTACAGGTATTGATGTCGATGTCTCAAAGAGATTCTAGTAAGTTGATGAATTCATGAGGCTGTTATCTGCAAATAGTGATCAGTTACATTCTTCTCAAGTACACACAGAGCTTTTCAAATCTTTACCGCAGGACAGAGGGGAAAATAGTTACCAAAAGATCAGTATCGAAAGGATTATATTGCATGTCTACAACATAAAATACAAACTAATCTTCCTCCCCCCCAAATCATTAGAACTAAGTAATCATATTAATAATATAATTTTTAACTATAAGTGATTCCAACCATGAGCAGACAGTGCCAAGGCTAGTAAGTTATGTGTGTCAATAGGTGTGATGGATCCAGAGTTGATCTCCTTGATAACACTGTTGACATTCATACGCTTCCTGTAGACAGTCATTGATCCACTGTGCTTATCAGAGGAAGTTCCCAATTACAGGTTTCCCCTAATCCTTCTGAGTCTGGAGATGAGTAGCTATGAGATTTCTTAGTTTCTACCGGAGCTGTCTCTGGTTCAAAGCAGTCCTGTCTTTTGTCCGTTAGCCAATGCACAAGTGTAAGGTTAAACACTTGGGAGGCCCTCTGAGGCAAGGTCAGGATGGACCACTAAACCACTGGGAATGCCAGGCTCTGCCTTTGAGACCTGGGTAGTGATAATGGGATATGAAAATTGGGTAGCCATCTGGAAAACTGATCTCTGAGATCAGAGTCCCCAGCTTTTCTGTCTTACAATATGTTAAAAAATATAGATTGTGAAATATTCCGATTTAAAATAATGACAACTAATTTAAATGCTTTTAAAACATTGTATTGGCCAATGTTTGTTTGATGTGCATGATTTGTGAGCTAATGTGTGCAACTCTTGCGCTAGTTAAGATGGGGTGGGAAGGGCTACATTTGTTCTGCTTACTGTTGTCTCCCTGTACTGAGCACAATGTCTAACATGGAGTAGCAGCACAAACCTTGTTCACAAATCAGTCCAGTGCCATCGAAGAGATAGGAGGAGTTTAACTGAACCTCTTGAAAACATTATCCATTCCTAGATGTTTACAAAGTATTCCTTTAACAGTTCAAGAATCATATCCAGCAACAGAATCACTCTCCTCCTTAGGATATTATAATATCCCCCACTTACTAGATAACTGTTCTACTTATCTAAGACCCTTTCTCAAAAAATTAGACACTTGTGTGGTATATCCATCCACTGGTATGGATACAGTAGTTTTGCTTGCAATATTTCTGAGTTCTCTGGTTTTAATCAACCGAGGTTCTTGAGCTCTCTGGAAACAGATAATTATTTATGCTCTCTATATTCATCTCACCATTTTTTCTTTTTTACAGGAGGGAGCACAAATGCAGTCCCCCACTACCACAAATTATGCATCGAGTTTCCCACATTTGGGGAAACCGCAGGGGCCAGCACATACGGAGTGCAGTGGATGCGCCTCACCCTGGGTAAACCACCCTCATGATCATGGCATCTCCCCTGCCGCTAAGTACCATCATCTGACTCTTTTATTCCCCGCTTCAACCAGAAGATAGTTATCTTTGAAGAAACTAAAGTAAAACAGAAATTGAGCTCTATTTTCGTTAACATTTATCATCATTAACATTACACCATCATTCTTAAATTAATCCCTGGAATTAGTAGTATTAATTACTCATAACTTAATAAATTCCCAAGAGTTATCATATATTTGGCCTGGAAATGTTACTGAAACTTAGCAAAGCAATAGTCTGGACAAAACTTGAACATAAATGAATAGGACAAATGTTTCATTAATTTATTCAACAACAATGTTTTGAGAGTCTGTTGTATGTTGGTAAATAGGCACTCTAGACAAAGAATTATATTTCTGATCCAGAGGAACTCACAATTCAGGCCGCATTGTGTAGAGGGGATACAATGGAGGCTTGGAGATGTGGGAGAGTAATATAGCACTAGAAAAGATGATAGTGATGGTTTAGGAGTCAAAATTTTGTAAAGATTTCACTCTCTGACAGGCATAGTAAATTGAAGAATACTATACAGAACATGTATCTTGATTTTAGCAAAACATAGTAACCCCTTACTACCTGACGTGGCGCTCTACTAAAATTTCCTGGTCAGCAAAACTTGAAAACATGGACTGAATGCAGTACAGTGAGGTAACATTTACACTTCACTGAATAACAACAGGGTGATTAATTCCTGCTAAAATGAAGGGATATGTTTCACCATGGGGCTTGGTGTTCACGCTGTCCTCTTCAATAAACCTGGTAAAGGTGTGCACATCAGATCTATCGATGACATAAATCTGAGAGGGATGAGGGCCAGGGGTCACACTTAAAATTTAAAACCAGGAAGGAGGGAATAAGAGGAATATGCTCATTAACATGTAACTATTTATTACATGTCTGCTTTTCCCTGTAGGTTGTTAACTATTTGAGAACACACTTTATTTAGGCCTGGGTTCCAGTCTCTAGTCAGTTCTGAGTAAATATAAAGATTCAGTAAACACAGGAAGCAGGGCAGGAAGGAAGGCAGGGAGAGTATTTTTTCCTCTGGACATTTGATTGCTGATAATCGCCAACGAGATGGTAGAAAAAAATTAAGTGACACTTTACATCATGAAAGAGTCTGAATGAGGAGGAAATAGGTGAAATTACTTGTTATAATGAGGCCCTGAATTTCTGTCTTTTGCTTGTTATGTCCCCTTTTAAGAATAAGCTATTAATAAAGGGTATGGAAGGTACTATCTGAGTTCAGATGGTGGCAGTGCTACCACACAGTTATGTGACTTTTAGGGAAACTTTAAAATTTTTTTTTTAATTTTTAGGTGCCTTGGCATTATTATCTATCAAATGGCTGTAGTGAGAATTAACTATGCACACCTTAGACATAGTTTGAAATAATGCCTACTACAAAGAAAGTGTTGTAGAAGTGTTCGCTATTGTGATGACTAATTTGCAAAAATTGAATTTTGAATCTTGTATGCAAAGTCCATAATATTAGCTACTACTAAGAGTTCAACTGCCCTTTTAGAGGAACTCATATACTCTGGGGGGGGTCTTACTTTCAGCCAGGGCACTCTACTTCCTGGGGTGATCCTGGCCACAAAGCAATGCTCTTAGATGATAATGAAGTACCACATGATCAGAAAGTCAAGAATGTCTAACCCTTAGAAGTGCCCCCAAGGAACGCGGTTTAGAATTGCCCTGTGCTTGAGAGCATACTTGGTATGAGGCAGGCAAGCATCCAACGAATGAGTGATTTGAACTGTGAAGACCCTGGGGATAGGAGGATGGCCCCAGAGAATACCCTGACTCGGCTGTGACATTCCCAACAGCTGGGCAGAGGGTCTGGCTCCAGGACCTGGATCCAAGTTTGCAAATTTCTTAAATTAATTGATGGAAAAAAAGGCAGTTCAATTCATGCTACATTTTTCTTCATATCGCAACAATAACTTGGAGATAGTCTTTTGAAGTTTACAAAAGCTCTTTACATTATCTCACTGATTTACTCATGAAAGATAAAGTGCAGATATATTTATTAAAATTTCACAATGTAAACTCAAGTATCCAAAGGAAGATGCCAGTTCACGTAACACCCTTCTATCATTGCGAGCTTGTCTCTCTAGCCCAATGGGGTATAGTTTTCCTTGGAGGCAAGGAAATATAATATTTTGAGTCCAGAAAAAGAGAAACAGATTAGGAAAGATGGAAATATCGTGATGGCACCAGAAACATGGCTCAAATGCTGGAATTTGGCTGCACAACCACCTGTGCAGAAAGTCATGGCAGATACACTCTCGCCAGAGGAATGATTTACTGCTTCAGCTGCAGGCAAAACTGACTGGAAACTAAAAGGTCCCTTTTGCCTGAATTGCCTAACCTTGTCTACGGCCCAGTCTAGACGCTCCCAACTAGAGGTGCTGATTGAAAGGAAAATATGGTGATAAATTCAATTCTGTTGAAATCAATCCAATTTAGCTGAACTAAATTCAGTTAAATATGTATTTATTGAGCTCATTATAATACAAATAATATAAATATGCTAATCCATATGAATGAACAAAGTCTAGGGCCGGGGATATAAAAAACTGAAAGATATTCTTGCCTTTGAAGCACTCAAACTTTAATGAGATGGGCTTACATAAAACTAGGAGTAACAGCCGGATTGCAGAGGGCCTTATAAGAAGCATAAATAAAATGGACAATGAAAACACAGAAGAAAAGGCAGTTTTATTTCTTATGGGGAAAGCCAACTGCCCTAATACGTGATTTTATTTAAATCATCAAAGTAGAAACTGACTATCCCCATTTGAGAGATGGGGTAACTGTGCCTCAGACAGATTGCCCTGAGCTGTACAACAGAAAATAAGTGAATGAGCCTGGACTTGAACTCAGGCATTGTGGAGACAATGTTGTGGTCTACCCATCACATCGCAGGGACAGTCTCAATCCTTGATTGCAGATCTGTAGACTTCCACTACAGGGTGTCTAAAACTTAATGCATTCCCAAAGGCAAATATCTAGGCTTCGATGGACTATACCTGTCTTGATTCTCCTCGTGGCAAGAACTAACACTTACCAGTGGTGTCCGGAATCTGGATTACAGGAAAGACCATATTAGTGAAATACAAGTCTATACTTGGAGTACACGCTTTGAGGAAGAGGAACAAAATCCCAGGCATGAACTCTGGTCCCTGCTCTCACATATGCCTTCTGTACCCGTACACATGGTGCACATCTGAACCACTTCCAGAACTGTTGGAAAGTAGGATGGATGTATTTTTTCAGGCAGAGCAAGTGAATGCTGCTGAACTCAGTCTGATCAACAGCCATGCTGGAGATACTTTATTTGCTGTGCTCACCTTAGGAAGCTAATGCTTCTCAGTGATGCCTAGGCAAACTGCCAATTGTTTTTGCTTACCATTAATATGTTTCTGATTGTGTTACCATGGTTACAGGAAAATCCAGTGCTGGCTTTGGCTCAAATCAAGGGTCCAGTTTCTCTCCGTAGGATATGCCACAGTGTGAGCCAGCATTTCAGTCCTGTCTGGAAGTGAGGCCCTACCTGTCTATGCTTTGCGGTCTTCTAGAGCAGTGTACTAAGTGATACACGTTATAAAAATTATGATATAGTTTCAAAATTAAGTGAAATGCTACTGCTTGAAAAAAGAACAGGATATTTGCTCCTAATGGGGACCTGGGAGGTGCCTCAGCAGGGATCATTTCCCTCCAGTGGTAAGTACTTTCCCTGTAAGGAAAATTTGTTATCTTTCATTTTTCCTTTAGAAGCAATCAGAATTTATAAGAATATCTCTCATTTACTACTACAGAAAGAGAGACCCTAAATATCGCAGTTGTCCTCGAGTTGGTCTGTCATTACCCAAGGCAGAATTACCAGCAGCCCGCTGAATTATTTCTCGTTTTTGGTGGATGACCTTTAAAACCACCAGTATTCAGAGAAGTGCCTAGGGAATCCTTGGCCCATTCGCTTGTCTCTGAGCGGCCTCTGCTTTTCACAAAGTATGCATTAAAGAGCACAGAAGCTGAGTTGCCGTGAGCTTTACACCATCCATGTGCTTCACTGATCTGCAATCAGCTCCCCAAGGCTTTCTTCCGCCAACACAACTCCTGTCCTTCAGACGCTCTTCCCGCTGACTGTTGATAGGGGCTCTTCTTCTCATCATCTCTTTTTCAGAAGCTTCATTTTGTCGAAAAGGACCACAGAGAATTATTCTAGCCTGAGTCTTTAAGTTAAAAGCCCTTCTTCAGCTCCCCTAAAGTCCAGGCAGCAGGTAGTTCTGGGAGTCCATCAGAGAAGACAGTGAGTCAGTATTTCCCTAGTCATCCTGAACACTGTCTGCTCTTTTGACTGTGCAGGCACATGGTACTATGAACATCAGGTGTAATACAATCCAGTTTGAGCTGGTCAAAATCAGGACAAGCTTAGTTTTTTTTTTCTATAAACATAAATCTGAGTACATCATTGTCAGTAGCTTCTCAAGGACGAGTGAACCTGCCATGTGCAGGAACAGATCTCACTTGAGGAAAAGCATGCTCGCATTAACTATTTCCTTTCTTGATATTCAAAATATAGCTAAAGTAACGATAAGGTTATTGAATGAGGTAACAGTTCTTTGCCCGCAGCTTAATTTCATTTGGGAAAAGTTTAATTTAGTGCTCGTGTGGGTGGCCATGTTCAAATTTGCAGAATAACTTGCACTAACTGTTTATTTACTTGTCTTTCTGGAATTTGGCAGCAGCCAGACAGTCACTGGCTAGTACTTAGCAAAAGTGGGGGGAGAGGAAAGTTTATTTTAGACAACCTTGCTGCATCTTCTTTCCATATCTTTTGCATCCCTCTCCCGATGTGTCCTGAGATATCATGTTCTCTCTCTCTGTCTTTCCTCCTTTGTTCAGGAAAGAATCTGAATAAGATATTTGTTTGAAGTATGACCCCTTTCCCAGTGGAAAAATAATGTCATTAATGTCATTTTTATTCAGCAGTA